GGAGGTTGCCACATTGCGGAGCTTTCCCTTAGGGTCGACTAGCTCCGTCCCCCACCAGCGTCCACTATGGAGGCTGAGTAGCGCCAGGGACCTCGGCCACGCGTGCCCCGGTCGTTCCCAAAGCAGGAGCTCGCAACCTCGCGCCACGAAGCATCTACTGGCGGCAGAGATCGAACCCTAGTAGCAGCCGCGCACATGCCTTCCTCCTCCATTGTGCCTTCCATCATCGTCAGCTGGATCCACCTTCTATTCACGACCGTCGTAGCCTCCACCCACCTCCCCAATCATCTACCACCGCCCAGGGTTGCCAGGGTCCATGGGCCTTGCCCGAATCCGTGGACCCACTTTTGAATATCCACTCAGATGGTGGTAGCCCTCTCGAACGCTTCATCGCCAGTCAGCCTCACTCGCCAGCATTCAGACATGGAAGGCAAAGGGGCCGCACATGACCTGCAACGTTCGAGGAGTGTAACGCCAGGCTTCAAGTGAAGTTATAGTGGCAGTTACTAGTAACGCCTGTATTAACCCTCCTCTTTACCCCCTTGTAATGTAGCCTTAATGGGGACGACACACTCTATATAAGCCACCGCCTAGCGCCGTGATAAGGGTTCGCAACCCTTCTGTAATCAATCACCCTAGAGAAAACATAGCCTTAGGGCTCAAGACATAGGGCTTTTACCTCTCCGCGAGGGGCATGAACTCATAAAATCCGAGTGTCACACATGTGCCATAGCTAGGTTCCTCCCCTATCCGTACCTCTAGTGCTCACTGTCAGATTCGTTGCCTCGACACTACCATCATATAACATTACATGATTAGATACATGTTTTCATTTGCCTTGCATGATCATAGCATGGATAGCTCCATATTTTCATACTTGTACGTTTTTATGTCTATGCTACGCCAAATCATTTCACATACTGGTATGTTGCTAGAGGCATTCATCATATAGAGTTTATCTCATGTTTTGAGTTTTGAGTTATGATTACTTTAGTTGAAGTGTGTCTATAGAAAGTGTGTCATTCATCATTGTAAGGTGTTGCTTGTAAAAAGGAGAGAGAGAGAGATGCACCACGGAGGTGGCATAAAAAGAGAGAATAAGAAAAGAAGAAGAAATAAAAAAGAAAAAAGGAAGGTGCTTTTTAGTATACAGTTGTGCTTCAAAGTAGCATCACTTCATGCATTGTAAAGTAGAAAGTTTCATGAGCTTCATGATTTATACTAGTGGGGAAATTACACTATAGAACTTGGCTTGTATATTCCGATGACCAGCATCCTCAAAAGCTCGAGGTCTTCATGAGCAAGCAAGTTGGATACACCTCACTTAGTCCATAGGAGAGCTTTCACATATCCATAGCTCTATGTGCATCCTAGTTGCATGGTGGTCCCTACTCCTTGTGTTGACATCGATCGTAAGACCTTCTCCATAGCAAAATGATCAGTTGTGCTGATGCAAGACTTTTTTGTTTTTGTCTTCTCAAACCCCAATCATTATTCTAATTTTCCCTTAAGTGTGAGGCATAGGCTTGCGCTCCAGTGCATCATAGGTAGTTGAGAAGTTGATTAACACAGACATACGATCTTCCTATTGTACCTAGTAAGCCTTGGGTTCGTGCTTCTGATGCGATCACTAATGTATGATTTCTTGTCTATGAATGTCATTCTTATGTTCCCAACGTAATATTGAAATCTTCGGCAATGGTTGTTTAGGATCTAGATTTTTTCCGTCTTTCTTGACCTCCATGGAAATGGAACTACGAGGATTGCAGGTATTACTCCCATGCTAGCGAACTTTTGCAAACTTCCATGACGAATATCACTTTTGGACTTTGGTTTTCAATGTATGCTTAGAGTTAGCAACAATGAGCGTATATAGTCAACCTTCTTAGTCGAGGACGAGCAAGGTTTAATAGGTTTATGGCTCCATATTTTATGCATTTTTACAACTCATTTGTTGCACATTATCTCCATATATCAAGTTATATCATGTCCCATCGAGCCAAATACATGTCCATATGCATGATTTCCAGTTTTATCATTTCCCCATTAACATTGCATAATCTTTATTCTTAGTTGGTTTTTATTAGTTTTCTTTGTCTTTGTGTGTTTTGCCGGTGATGAGTACTTCCCATGCACTTAACACGATGAAAGGAGTACAAATGGTGGACATCCAGGACCCCGGACTTAGCCATTTCAGAGATGGAAAAAGTCATTTATCCAAAGTTCTCCAAATTAGGATGTAAGACCAGAAATGGATCGGCATCGTTCATACGAATCCAATGAGCCCTAGAACTTCACCAAAAGTTGCCTCTCGTGTCGGGATTCTTCGTGGATTTAATCTCCGTTTGTTCCTAC